ATATGTAAAGTTGTTGGCACTGTCCTTTGATGCCAGTGACGTTTGTGAGCCAAGCCAGAGAAGACCTACGCCAAGCCGGCCAAGCCCAACAGCGCTGGCTACAAACATAATCTCAAATAGCGAGATATAACTTGGTGTGGTGAAAAATGCTGGCAACTATGGGCTCAGCTGCTTTTTTTTTTTATTTGTGCTTCGGCTGTGCAGTGGTGGTAACTTAGCGAGAAAGTCGCTAAATTTAGCGCCTTTTCAGTCGTGCTAGCGACAATTTTATCACTTTGGAGTCTTAGCGACTTTTTTGGAGACTTTGAAAAGTTGAAATTGAATGTTTAAAGGACTACTGACAGGAAAAGTTTTGTTTTCGACATTTTTTTACAGTAATCCGTAGCTTTGCGTCTAGTAATGCCAAAATTCAATCGTAAATGTTCTAACGCATCGTATAATTGATGCTAGCATCGTTAATTGAGGACGATTTTGTTTCAGTTCAAAACGCCCGCCTAGATACCATAAGAAACTAGCGCCGCACAGCGGGGCAGTGCCTGAGACTACATGCGCTCAAGCTTCGGTGACGCTGAACGTGCGGTTTCCAAATAGGGTGACCCGAGAGTGGGGAAGAATAGAACGATGTGGGTGCGTTGAGCGTGTTCCCCTCAGGAAAAAGAAGAGCATTCCTGGCGTAAGCAGCGAAAACCACCTTAGAGCAGCCCGACAACAGAGCGAGAGGGGTGACGAACAATAGTCCTCGCCGGGAGCCAGTCGGCGAATTGTACTCACCCCGAAAACGTTCTCGGAATCTCCGATGCCCACAATACTTGCTTGACCTCTGCAACCACGCAAGGGGAGCCTTTGTCTACGTAAAACCACAAAAAATGTCGATTTTACCGGAATACTCGGATGAGCACACACCTTCGCTTTAAAACCAAGTTGAAATATTTTACAGGCAGCACTCACCCCTAATAATCGTTAAGAAGTGCATGCAAGAGTCTCAAACGTCGCAAGCACACCAAGCTTCCAAATTTTGTGTCAGGGGTCCTTTAAAACAGACATAGAATATTAGGAAACTAATGAGAACTGGGGAATGCTCGGAACGAGCTTCAAAATGAGGCCAGGGCACACAGGATCGAGCTTCTTGAGCCGCTGCGATCTTTAGCGTGCGTGCAATGTGGCCACCTGGCTGTTTTGGGCTGGTTGGTACATGATCGACGAAGCGAAAAAAAAAAACTGCGCGGAACACCGGACAGTGAAAGAGACGGACCAAGCGCTTTTTTTCGCTTCGTTGAAAATACAAGGATGGAGAGGAAGCTACAGGAAAGCTGGCCTTTGCCCCTTCCTCCTGGAATTTCGAATACCTTGTCTATGCAGGCAGCTCGAAAGAAACGATGCCTGCGCTCGTCACTGCTGGAGCCTGGATGTCTCCCCCCCCCCCCCTCGCTAATGCACACCCATGCTATGGTGGCTAGCCACCATACCCATGCTAAAAGTTCTGAATGCGCACTTGTGCGCCACGTGCTTCCGCGAGCATCGGCAAGCCTATCTCTCACACCATCCCTCTCGCTCCTCGGGTTCTGAAATCCGGGCATGTTCATGGCCGATTCTGCGGGGGTCTACCCAGCGTACCCCTTCAGAGAACACGAACTCAAACGAAGTGGTTCAACCGGTTCAACCTACAACACGTGGTAGCGTTGCTTCACCATGGCTCACTGAGCCGCAGATCACTCGTTCTGTAGAAAAAACAGCCGCTCAAAAGATTTCGTTCACTCCTGAGCGACACATCTCTATTTCCAGTACACTCAAGGACTAGGTGTAGCGTGCCGACTCGCTCGCTCTAGCTTAATCATGCCTCCAAAGTATGAGCAGCATTATCGAAAAAGTTGGGAATCACTGCCCGAGTTTAAAGGCTGGCTACGTCCTGTGGAGAGCGAAAGAACAAAAGCATCATGCGCCTACTGCATGAGCGAATTCTACGCGAAGCTGTGCGATATCAAGAAGCATGCCGCCACCACCAAGCACAAGAAGTCATCTGAACCATACTCCAGTTCTTCTCGGCAGAAGAAACTGCAGTATTCAGCCGCAACTGAGTCTTCCTGCGGCAGAAGTGAAGCAGCTCTTTGTCTGTTTATATGCGAGCACACTGCATTCCTCACCGCTGACCACCTGACAGAACTCTGCAAGAAACAGTTCATGGACAGCAAAAGTGCAGCAGGCATGCGCATGCACCGGCGCAAATGCACGAAGATCATAGTGAATGTGTTATCTCCGCATTTCGTGGATCTCTTGGTGGCTGACATCGGTGACTCAAAATACAGCCTGATAATCGACGAGGGTACAGATATTTCGATCACTAAGTTACTGGGTGTGGTGGTGCGATACTTCAGTGCTGCTCGGAAGAGCATTGTGACGACGTTTCTTGCGCTTATCGAATTGGACGATGGCACAGCTGTGACAATCGTCAGGGCATTGGAAAACCTCCTCACGCGTATGGGACTTGACAAGAAGCGTCTCCTCGGCATTGGAGTTGACAACGCCTCGGTGAATACGGGTGTCAACAACGGTATTTTCGAGACAATTAAGCGTGAGTGGCAACTCCCGAACTTGATAATGGTAAGGTGTATTTGCCATTCTTTGCAACTCGCACTTTCCCACGCTGTTCAGGGAACGCTTCCCAGGAATGTGGACTTCTTGGTGCGCGAAACCCACATGTGGTTTTCCCATTCTTCAAAGCGTAAAGCCGCGTACAGTCAACTTTACCGTAGCCTCTGCGATGGGGAAGAACCACTATCAATTCCAAGGGTGTGCGATACCAGATGGATATCGTTGGAGCCAGCGGTCGTCAGAGTCCTCGATCAATGGGACATGTTGCTGAAACATTTCGAACAAGCCAGATCAACGGAAGGATGCTACACCGCAGAGCTCCTGTATCAGATGTACTCTGATCCGCTGAATAAGCTTTATCTACTCTACCTTCGACCAATGCTACGAGAAGTTCAGCGTACAAACAAGGCCTACGAGAGGAACGACGCGGATCCCGCAAAGCTTCTTGAAGACCTCACGCTCCTAATTAAGATGGTTTGCAGCAAAGTGCTCATTCCAACGGCGAAGATAGATCCGCTGCGCCAGCCTATCGATGGTCACCTGGACCCCAAGCCATACCTGGGATACGAGTTCGAGAAACTGGCGAGCACGCTACCAGCTGGTCCTGAAGTTGACTTTGTGCGCCAGCGATGCGTTAATTTCACAGTAAAGCTGTCAAATGAGCTCCGGCAACGTCTGCCATCGAACTTCAAGATATTGCAGGGCATGGCACGGCTGTCTGTGGGAGCATGCTTGCGAGTACTCAAGGAGCCTATCACGGAGCTGGCGGAACATTTCGGTGTTCAACCAAACGAGATAGATCTCGTGAACGCGCAGTGGAAGAAGCTGACCCTGGTGGGCTGGGCCAACACCACCGACACCATTGCATTTTGGTCCGAGGCCACTGCGTACCGTGATGCAGCTGGCTCGAACCCGTTTCACGAGGTCGCGCAGCTCGCAGTTGATGTGCTCTCCTTGCCGCACTCAAACGCAGAAGTGGAAAGAGTTTTTAGCCAACTAAGCGTGGTTAAGACAAAACTCAGAAATTCTCTCAGCACTGCCAGCACAAATGCGGTCTTAAGTGTTCGTAGCGGACTTCGCCGTCTTGGAAAGTGCTGCCACACCTATGACCTGCCTGACACAGTGACAAGAAAAGTTGGAACCATGCAAGCGTACTCCTCAGCGTTCGCGCCAAGAAGTAGTGCACGTGCGCAAAGCAGTGGAGAGTCTGCAGACGAGGAGGTGTGGACTGGTGAGGTGGAACTATTGCTTGACATATAGACTTTAGTGACTTGAGTGAAATGTGAAGAACGATCGAAATGAAAGAGCGCCGGCCAAAATGAAAATATTTAAAACATTTCAGATGTTTTAAATCTTGTCATCTTGGCCGGCACTGTTTCAATTTGCTTGTTCTTCATGCTTCTTCCCTACGAGACGATACTTGGTCAAACGATCTTCTTGAGTACAATGTGTCCAATAAAATAATTTTAGGTTTCACTCGTTCCTAGCATTGTAGTAACATATTACATCAAACGTTAGATAGCAGCTGTGCACGCAGTAGGTTATTGTTGAAAGCTAATTGACGAAGTATGGGCTCTTTGGTGGAATTGCAGTACCTTCATGAGGCAGAAAAAGCGTGCGTGGCGTGCATGCACAAAATTTATGCACACCACGCGTTCCCCTGCTTCGCGGAGAGAGAGAGAGAGAAAACTTAATTTCCGGCAGAGTGCTGCGCTGGGTTCCGACCCATGGGTATGGTGGCTAGATCATGGGGGAAGGAAATAACAGGAGGGAGCATGACGTCACGCACCCAGCCTTGGCAAGCCAACCCGTTTTGAAGCCAACAAAGTCGGCCCTTTTGCCGTGAGATCACGCAATAAACGAGACTTGCCGATACCTCGAAATACGGCGCCCGGTAGCTTTTAATCGAAATGAACTGGTTCGGCGCAGACTGGCCGGCTCACGGAGGTGTTTCAAAGACGGAACAGCGCCGAGAGAACTAAAACCTACCGCGAGCGCTGACGTTTTGGTCACTTGTTGGGCCGACTTGGTGGGCTTCAATCGAGTTGCGCAACGCTCCCTCCTGTCTTTCCTTCCTCCATGTTCCGATCTGTGGTTCAGACCTAGAAGTTTATTCCGCGCAATCCACGTCTCCCGGCAGACCCAGAGTTGCTTGTCCAGACCAAAACTGAACAGCGCAGTCCGACACTAGAAATGATTATTTTATTTTGACTGTTCACTTTATTCACCACAGCAGAAATTTATTTAAATCATTGTTTAAAAATAATCCCTTAACGTGCTTTATCCAGTCGAAAACTAAAAACTCAGGAAAAACGTCATCATCATCATCACTTAGCGACTTTTGGCTGAAATTGACGACTTTTAGGAAGCGTTCTGGCGACTTAGGCCCCCCAAAAGTTACCACCACTGCGGCTGTGCGAGGGGATTGCTGCAGATGACGTGCCTCATCGTTTTGAGGTGTAAACAGCGCGTAGTTGACTGCTGAATCCTTTTGCTCTGTGTTGTGTCGATTGATTGGTACAAAACCTAAATTGACAGCGGTCACGAAAGCCTTCTCGGCTCCAGTCGGTGCGACCATGAAGTGGTTCGAGGGATCTATTCCCGAGGCAATCGCTCTGGCCAAGTCCAAGCAACAACTCTTCCTTGTGTTCATTGAAGGTAATTAACTTCGCTTGCATGTTTTGAGTACATGCGCACAGCTGCTTACTCGAGTCGGGACAGGGTAAGTCATGTCATAACCAAGCCCTTGTAAATTTTGATCTGAAGTGTTTTGCTGGCAATAATGTCCGCCCTGTAATACTGTCACTATTGCGTCGCCTGCTCGTTCGTATACTTGTTTGCGCCGCCTTTGCCGTTTTATTGTTGTAGCCTGCAAGATTGCTATTACGCAGACCGCAATTCTGGCAGCTACATGACGTGCATGCAATGATTGGTGCATTTACATCAAACATGGCGCCGCTCGCTAGTGCAGATAGGTTACGTTGTGATTCAGCACTTCTCGCTCTGCTGGTTGTTCAAGAAATTGTTTCATCGAGGAGACACATCGTTAAGCCAACTTTGTCGCTGTCGTGTTTCTTGCGCTGATCATTTCGTCGAACGTACTGCTGTTGGAAGCACAAGTGCACCGATGGGTCATTCGTCACCCGACGCTGTTCGTGGAAGAACTTGAAAAAAAAAAAAAAAGGCGAACTTTCGTCATTATTTCATGGTCGCTTGTTTTATAATTCGGTTTTTAATTAATTGAATGCGAATATAAGTCGCAGGAGTTTTCTATTTTGTCCTATTGGTAGAATATAACATTTCTGATGTGTTATTGTAGTGCGAACTCTCAATATTTGAAGTCGATGTTATGAGGCTTGATTTAACCAGAATACAGGCAAAACTTATTTTTCCTGACGCTGCGGCCTCTGTGATGTCGAGAAATTACATTGCTGAAAGATGTAATTCGCGCTCAAAAGCTTGCGTTTATTGATGGTTTGGCTAAGGGACATACACGAAAGTAAGTAGTGTGACAGGGTGCATATTATGATTAGCTCTACATCTCTACAGCTTCTGTTTTAATTTCCCATATTTCATGCTTCATGTTCAGCCTGCATATTGCCGCACGTGTTTCTTAGTTCATAAGAGGGATCGTTTCTGAAGTCGTATTGTTTTCTGCAGTTCATGAGTGGCATTATTGCCGTATTGGGATTACATGTCCAGCTGCTTATCCAAAATTCTTGCTTGTCCCCAACCCATCTCAAGAGCAAGCATATTCAAAGCAAAACACATCAGTTCAGAGCCTGTCTACCACACTGAAGGAACTCGCTTGTAATGGGTCTCCCCCCCCCCCCCCCCCCCCGTCAGCAAAGAAACTCTGGAGCCACTCCTGCTGAGCGTCTTTTTACGGACCGGCAACCAGGCAAACACGCTAACCATTTATAATGGCATTATTTTTACCTGCAGTGACAATGAAATCGTACATGCGACGCATGCTGCAAATAGTGCGAGGTGAGCGTGACCGCAAAGATTTTGTGTATTCGCTGCAATTTGCTGTGCATTCACGAAATCGGCAGCATGCACCGCAGGTCGACATGTTCTCTCAGTTGCCATTAAGGCAATGTTGCTTCTCAGCATCAACTCTGTTTACCTCGTAAGCAGCTCTGAGTAGAGCGGCGTTGCATTATAATTTACGTACTCTAGTCTTGAGCACTATTTATGACGAACTTGAAGCATCGGACTATGTGGAGTAAGTGGAATGACCCTATACTGCAGCATCAATGTCCTTTCACCACAATGTGCAACATACCGTTTTTTTGTTTTAATGAAATCTCCATGAAATTTCGAAATGCTTACTTCATTCGTACAGTTTTTTATGACTTTTAACGCAATTTTTTAATTTAAAGCTAAATAACTTACAAGAAATGGTGCCTTAATCTGTTAATATAATTCATGTTTTTCTCGTTTCCAGGAAGGTCTAATCGCATATTCTGACCAGTTGTCAGTGCCTTTTAGGCGGAAGAGGCTGTGCAAAGCTGTGTGTTAGTACTCTGGATTCCAATAATGATCTTATTTGCGAGAATATGAAGAAGAAGAGAGTTTCAGTTGGTAACGATTATAGCAAAATTGTAGAGGATTGCTTTGTCATTGAGCTTTTGATGCAGTCTGGTCGGTAAGATTTGTAGGCTGAAGTTTGTGTCAGTTGAATGACAATGTCGCTTGCTTTTCACCAGGAAACGATGAACTCTCAAAGGCCATGGGCACCACTTATGAAGATGCAGCTGTTTCGTCTAAGTTGCAGACTTCTCGCTGTGTTGCCATCAAGCTTCAGGCTGGCAGGCAAGTGCTCATTGTCTTTAATATTGCGAGATATTTTACAGCATCATTTATTACTCGTCTTACCGATGAACGAAATCTGCAACAGCCCTGCCGACAAGGGCAGGGCTACAAACACTCAAAATCTGACAAAAAATTCCCCCTTAATTGTTCGTTTATCAGACGTCAGCCAGTAAATTCAGTCTGGACGGCTCCCACCTGCAAAAATTCTTGTTGCACCAATCACTATTATGTATTTTTGCTCTACAGCTCACAAGTTGATGTGTATAGTATTCCTTTATTGTTCACACAGCCTTAGTCCAAAAGTTTTCTCTGGCATCGATAGATTGGCTTCTTTTGAATGAAATGTGCAGTTGTGGAAATGCACCTAGGCAAGTCAGACATGGCAACTCGCGCTCGTGTGCAGCCGCTGCGCACTGACAATCCATCAAAAGTGTGGGTAATTAACTCTTGTTTATTGGAACAGCCACATCTTCAAGAGTAGTTTTCATCAGTTTTTTCCAATTTTCGTTACAGTATTTCTTTAAAAGACTTTACGTGCATGCCTTTCCAAAACCTTTTCCGGTGTTATGAAATTACATTACTAAGGTTGCTGTGTGGCAAAATTGATGCCTATTGTACTACTACTAAGTTTGAAAGGTGATAAGAATAATTGAAAAATACTTCAACAAAATAGCATTCTTTGTGCACGACTCAGTGTACAATTTCTTTACAGTACGTATGCATTCAAATCTCGGAGATCTTCATTCAACTTCCCATAGTTGAAGCTGGGCATTGTTAAAGACACTTTACTTCCCCTTTTTCTTGTATTCTAATCAAAGAAAATAGGGAAAGTAATGGGTAATTTACTTAGGGTTATTAAGTATTTTAATTGCTTTGAAGTGTGATTGTGGCATACTTTCACTGAATATTTTCATGGATTAAGACAAGACTGAGAGGCTTTATATGAACTAATGATAAAATGATAATACTTGAAATAATGTTGTTGCAAATTATGAAGAACATAAATTTATTTGTTTATTGAAAACATGGGTAAGCTGTATATTAACAAAATAAAACCAAGAACGATAAGCCTTCACTATGAGTGGGTTGCACATAAACCATTGTTGCCATAACCACTATAATTTTATAGGCTGTTTATTCTGTCTTGCATTTTTCGTCCATCCTACCTAATCTTTGTTTCCCGTGCTTTGTTCTTGCAGTGAGCCATGCCAGCAGTTCTCGCAGATCTGTATCCTTTTCTGGTGAGCTCAGTAGTATGCTCCTGGTGGTCAGTGTGGATGATAGGTCTAAACATGTGAAGGGTGAGGACAGTGCAGATGATGGAGACAGCTTATCTCATTTCACCTACAGGTCAATTTCAGTGCCTTGCTTTCATGGCCACCATTAATTGGACATTGAAGTAATCATACTGCAGTTACAAATGGGTTATACAGGCTTGACCAGTAGCTGTGAAGCCAGTGTAACTAGATGTGACACCTATATCTTAGCTTTGCGAGATGGTGCATGAAGGGCATAACTGATAGGAAGTTGCTATGTTTAAGAACCTTCCTCTTTTTTTTTTTCCTCATTGCCAAGACAAGAAGATTAGTCATAATCATCAGATTTTCATAATGTTTGGGGTTTTCACATGAAATTTTTCTACATTAAAATTCAGCAGCCACGAACAATTCTTTCTGTCCCATCAATTTTGTTGTAGCGAGATGTGACTGTATTTCATATTATTAGAGCATATCAATGGAGCATATCAAGGGAGCAGGTCTCTTGCCTGTGTGTGTGCGTGCGTGTGTGCATGCATACGTGGGTATGTGTGAGAGAGAAAGATACATGCATGCACATTCATGTTGATGATATACTCTCGTCATCAGCATCAGTTTACTGTGTTTGCCGTGACCCAAGATGTGTGTAGACCCAGTTGTGGTTGTGCCATCAAGCTTCTTCATCGGCTGCAATGGCATTCCTCTGGAGGTGATCGCCGGCAGCGTGGAGCCACCAGAGCTGCTGAATCGCATTGACAAACTCTTCCAGGTAAGTGCACATCAGGCAACCAGCAAGGATGGTTATAATCCCCCCAGACATAGGTAAACTTGTGATCACCCACTTACAGAGTTGCAGTGCTATTTGTCTCCAATTGTTTCTTTGTTTATCATGAAAGAAAATTTCTAAACAAGGGTGGTGGGCTCGAGCTGACGTCTAGACAAGTGAACTTGTCTTCTTCAAGGCTAAACTGATTTCAGTTCTAGCCTTGAAAAAGATAAGTTCATTTGTAGAAACATCGGTGTTAGCACAACTCCTTATAAGATTTTTCATTGCAAATTTCTATCTTCCCCTTCCTGCGCCCTTGTTTATTATGTTCATTTTTTTACATAGATGAAGTCATACTTGAAATGCAGATCATTGCCAGTATAAAACAGCATTTTTTTTAGCACGATTTTCTTCTGGTGATGATGAAAAGATAAAGAAAGGACACTAACCGCAGTTCTGACTCACTACCAAATTTGTTTCGTTCTTCCAGTCTGCGCAAACATATTATGAAGTCTTGGTTTGGAAGACCTTTATTAGGCCCGAAGAATCGGCAGCCGACAGCTGAGATGAACGAACCAAGATGATGATGCCACGTGACAACGATGAGGATGCATAAGCAACACATGATAATGATGATAATGTACAGATGAAGAGGATTGGTATACTAAATGCCCACACTAATTCCCCCCACGTGAAAGCGGCCAGCCTGGCCACGGCAAGTAAAGGGGACAAAGAACGTCGCATGAAGGGCTTCATACGGGAGACATGGACGACCTCAGTAGTTCGATAACGGCGATCTGCTGGGGCTACAAGTGGCGTCACACGATAATTCACTGGTGAAGTTTCTTCAAGAACTGTGTACGGCCCGATAAACCGTGGCTGGAATTTGTCGCACAAACCATATGTGCGAATAGGCGTCAAAAGAAGCACTTCGTCTCCAGGTTGAAAGGATACAGCACGATGCGGTTCATCATAAACCAGCTTTCTGTCTTGCTGTCGGGCTTCAGTGTTTATACGAGCGCGTTGGCGGCTCTCTGCGAGCCGTAAAACGTATTCCTCTGAAGAGGATGGAGATGAATCCACATGGCAAGTAAAGAAAGAGACGTCCAGGAGAGAAGTAGGGGAGCGTCCATAAACTAGGTAAAATGGTGAGTAGCGGGTTGTCCGCTGAATAGCCGTATTGTAGGCGAAAGTGACGAATGGTAGGACTACATCCCAGTTCTTGTGGTCTGGTTGAATGTAGGCGGCGATCATGTCAGCAAGAGTGCGGTGGAATCGCTCAGTGAGGCCGTTAGTTTGGGGATGATAACTAGAGGCAGTGTTGTGAGTTGTGCCAGAGGCACGAAGAAGTTCGTTCACTAGTTGTGAAAGGAAGGCGCTTCCGCGGTCACTGAACAATACACGTGGAGCACCATGACGCAGTATAATGGCTCGGAGGATGAAATCGGCAATTTCAGAAGCTGAACCGGTAGTGACGAATGCCGTCTCGGTGTAGCGCGTCAAATGATCAACGGCTGTTACTATCCATCGGTTTCCAGCAACACTGACTGGAAGGGGGCCATAAAGATCGATGCCTACAACTTCGAATGGTGTGGCTGGGCACGGAAGAGGCTGTAGTGTACCGGCTGGAGCAGATGTGGGTAGTTTTCTACATTGGCAGGTAGTGCAGGACCCAACGTACCGAGCTACACTAGTGGTAATACCTGGCCAATAAAACCGACTTCGAAGGCGATCGTGGGTTTTGTGGTAACCAAGGTGACCAGCCGTCGCATGGTCATGAAGTGCTCTGAGGACTTCGGACCGAAGCGATCGGGGTAGAACGGGAACCCAGCGCTGAACGTCAGGATGGTAAATTTTGCGGTACAGCACCAAGTTGTCCAGCTTAAACTGCGAGAGTTGGCGACGGAGCCTCGCATTAGGTGGACGGGAACTGCCAGTGAGGTAGCCTATAATACGTTGACAGTATGGGTCAGCCAGCTGTCGAGAAGAAAAATCGTGCGGGTCGTCCGAAGGCAGCTGGTCCATAGAGGCGAGAGAGGAAACTGCCGTAGACGTGGACTCCGAGGGTGTGTTGTGCAAAGTGATTGCGGAAACGCTGAGGGGAGCCGCTGGTAGTGGGCAGCGAGAGAGAGCATCGGCGTCACTATGCTTTCTGCCACACTTGTATACGATGTCAAAATCATACTTTTGAAGGCGTAGAATCCAGGGGCCGAGGCATCCCGACAAGTTCTTGAGTGTCGAAAGCCAACATAAAGCATGGTGGTCGGTCACAATGGTGAAATGGCGGCCGTGAAGATAGGGAGGAAATTTCTGCACTGACTAAACGATGGCGAGGCACTCCTTCTCGGTGATCGTGTAGTTCCTCTCGGCTGCGGAGAGGACGCGGCTGGCATACGCAACGACTCGCTCTCGCGAAGAGTTGTCGCGCTGGAGGAGCACGGCTCCTAAACCGCGGCCGCTAGCGTCTGTATGGAGGAAGGTCGGTGCACCATCGTGCTTAGAAAGTACAGGATCGGTCGTGAGGGCACTCTTCAACCTGCCGAAAGCCGATTGACGTTCCTGAGACCACTGAAAGGGCATACCAGAAGCAAGTAGCTTATGGAGTGGTGCGGCTATGGAGGCAAAGTTTTGTATGAATCGCCGAAAGTAAGAGGCAAAACCAAAGAAACTTCGCAAATCTTTCGGCTTGTCAGGGCGAGAGAAGCGAAGCACCGCAGCAGTTTTCTCAAGGTTTGGACGAATTCCGTCCTTGCTCACAACATGACCGAGGACCTTGATAGATCTGCTGGCGAAATGGCACTTCTTGGTGTTAATTTTAAGACCAGCGCCCGCAAGGCAAGTCAGGATCTCGTCCAAGCGTTGCAGATGTTGAGGAAACGTCGATGAAAAGACAACAATGTCATCGAGATAACATAGGCAAGTCTTCCATTTCAGGCCACGCAGCACGGTGTCAATCAAGCGCTCAAAAGTTGCGGGCGCATTGCATAGACCAAACGGCATAACATTGAATTCGTATAGGCCGTCCGGGGTTGCGAACGCAGTTTTTTCTTTGTCATCTTCGTGCATGGGGATTTGCCAACAGCCGGAACGCAAGTCGAGGCTTGAAAAGAATTCAGCACCTTGTAAGGAATCGAGGGCGTCGTCGATACGTGGCATGTGGTATACGTCCTTCCTAGTGATTTTATTGAGTGCTTGGTAATCGACGCAAAATCGTACGCGACCATCTTTTTTACGCACCAGAACCACTGGAGACGACCAAGGACTGGTTGAGGGCCGGATTATCTCCCGTTGCAGCATATCGTCTACGTTTTCCTCAATGATTTTTCGTTCGGCTAGGGAGACGCGGTACGGACGATTATACACAATGGATGTTCCGTCGGTCTGAATACGATGTGCTGTAGCAGTTGTCTGACCCAGGCTGGATGAATGAACGTCAAAACAGTTTGCATGCTTTTGCAACAAATCAAGCAGCTGCTGCTTCTGTGAGTCTGTCAAGTCCTTGTTGATGGCTGCTGTAAAGGCCGAGGAAGCAGCATGATCTCGAGGATGGCCTTTAGAGGAGGCAGGGGTAAGAGGCACGACGCACACAGGCTCCAGATCGGCAACGCAGGCTACAGTAGTGCCCCGCGGCAGTAAAATTTTATCTGGTGTGGTGTTTGTAGCAGCAAGGACAGCTGATTCATTGTTGAAGTGAGCCACCCCTGATGCGAGAGCTATGCCTTTATTAAGGCAACGGGGCGATGGAGTGACCAAAATGTCACCAGAGTCGATGTCGTTGGACAAAACTGTGACTAATTGATGTCCGTTCGGGGGTAACTCGATGTCTACAGCAGCGATGAGTCGAAGTGGGCTGTAGGTTTTGTCACTAAGCAAGTGGTCTGTGTCAGTAAGATGGACGACACGTTGTGCACAACAGATAGCCGCGGAAGCAGACGAAAGAAAGTCCCAGCCTAAAATGAGTTCGTGGGAGCACGGGGATAGCACAGCGAATTGTATGCGATGAAGAATGTCGTCGATTAGCACACGGGCAGTACAGAGAGCGGAAGGGCGAATCATTGTTCCCTGGGCTGTAACCAGTGTTGGTCCATCATAAGGCGTCGTGACTTTTCGAAGACGGGTACACAAATCAGCACGAATAATAGAAAACCCAGCCCCAGTGTCCACCAAAGCATCAACGTCCACTCCCTCAACTGTGACTGCAATCATATTATAAGGGCGCGCTGGAGGAATTGGAGTACTGTGTTGGAATGCAGTTTGTCCTCCAAAAACTGCATCACTTAGTTTTCCGGACGCCGATCAGAAGCGAGGGAAGCAGGCTGAAGAGGAGAAGAGTAGCGACGGTGGGGCGATGGTGAACGGCGTCAGGTTGATCGATGACTACTGCGCAGTTCACCGGATGCTGGCGGAGATGGAGACCGACGCGGCGGTGACGAATAACGACGGCCCTAGTACAAAGCTCCTGCGGTATAGTCTCTTTCGCGTATGTCGTACCCTCGGCGCTCATCTTGCTGGCACTTGCGGCAAAAGCGTGAAATGTGACCACGATAGCCGCAATAATAGCACGTAGGGCGAGTCGATCGATAAGGAGGGTAGTAGCTTGTGTTAGATGCAGCGGGAGTGAGAGCAGTGAGAGGGACAGATGATGGCTCAGGCGGTGGTGATGGAAAGCTCGTGGGAAAGCTTCTGGGAGGTGCGGCAGCAACCGACGCGTACGTTCGTGGTGGCGACGTCGAGCTGACGGTGCCTGATGGTGCGGCGACGGCATGCGAGAACGATGGGAGAGTACGAGCAACAGTGGGCTGCAGGTGGGCCTTATGGGTCACGGACGTGAGCTCCTCCCTGATGACATCCCGCAATGACGTTGAAGAAGACTGAATGGGACACACTGAAGGTAGTGTGAATCCCATTGATTCTAATTCTTCGCGTATAATCACCCTTATTGTGTCTCGTAGGTTTGGATCTGCCGTAATACAGGCCGCGTCACTGTCTGGTTGTAGGCGCATCGACTCAAGTTCTTCAAGGCGCTGACAGGTTGTCGCAACGTCAGCAACGGTAGCCGGATTCTGGATTGCAAGGGCATTGAATGCGACTGGTCCAATCCCCTTAAGAAGCTGGCGTACCTTGTCTGACTCTGTCATTGGGGTGTCAACCCGGCGGCAAAGTGAAAGGACATCCTCGATGTAGGATGTATACGACTCCCCGATGTGCTGTTTCCGAGTCGCGAGAGCTTTCTTTGCGAGAGCTGAACGAACAGCTGGTGTGCCAAAGACATGGCGAAGCTGATCTTTGAAGGCTGACCAGTCGGGGATGTCGATGAAGTGGTTGAGGAATCACGTCTTTGCAACACCCGTGAGGTAGAATGACACGTAAGCGAGTTTGTAGGTGTTATCCCACCGGTTAGCAGCACCGACACGTTCGAAATCGTCCAGCCATTCCTCCACATCTTCCCCGCGCATACCAGCGAAGGGATGGGGCTCACGCTGGAGGCTGTTAATGACGTGAAAAGGCGCAACACGCGGTGGCGGAGTGGGAACGGCTGCAGCACCGACCTCTTCTTGGTGCGACATATTTCCGGACACCTGGCCCAAGCGGCGACCTGAACGTAGCTCCAGGGGGTAGAGTGGTCGAGAGGATGACGGGGGATCCAACAGCACGCTCCACCACGTATGAAGTCTTGGTTTGAAAGACCTTTATTAGGCCCGAAGAACCGGCAACCGACAGCTGAGATGAACGAACCAAGATGATGATGCCACGTGACAACGATGAGGATGCATAAGCAACACATGATAATGATGATAATGTACAGATGAAGAGGATTGGTATACTAAATGCCCACAATATATATACTCCACCAATATATCAAGGAAACAGAAAAGCAAAACAAGAAAGAGAAAAAGAGCGAGATAATCAGTCTACCCAGAGGTCATAAAAAGCTTAATGAAACAGAAATGTCAACTCCTTCAGATGGAGGGAAATCGAGGAGAGGCTTCCACATTCCTCGCTGCCATTGCAAACTTGATATGCTTCGTAAATGAGACTTGCACGTTCCTGATGGTATTTCGACAGGAATGTTGAATCTATAAAAAAATAGCTTGCAGCAGCAATAATTACAATGAAGGGACAGTTGAACATCTCTAGGTCGTTTATAGACCTTGTTCACATGCTTGGTCATACAGTAATCAGCACACCATTCCATATGGCCAACACGATAGCAGCTTACAAGAAAGAGGAATCTTGTATGCAGCACCATTAAAACATTCAACAAACTTCTGCTGAGGCTTCTTACTACATCGTTTTTCTCGATTTCTCGATGGAGTTGCTGATGCCGGCTACCAAGCTTATTTCTGGCAGAAAACAAAAACCTCATGTCTGCCCTGCTGACTACTTTCTTGAGAATATGCACCATCTTGTGCACACCTTAGGTGCAGTTTATGGACTGCGCTTGTTTATTTTGTTCTTTCTCTTTTGTTTTTCAGATTGTGGTGTAGTATATATGTGCGGACTGGAGGAATAAAACACACTTGGTGATCAGTCAGCACCGTGGTTTTTGTCCTCTATTTGTCCCATTTTTCTAGCCCAGTTTTCCATTGATTGTCGTGAACCAACCAGTCCAAATGCGTAGTGTACTGCAAAGCATCTTCAGTTCTGAATTTAATCTTGCGATGGCACATGGCTCATTCTGGAGGATTGTCCGTGAATACATGCACCTGCACATGCAACCACTGGTCAAATCATAGACAGCCAAATAAAACTAAAGCCACAAAATATGCTTTTTCATTAAGAGAATGATGTGTTTGATAAGTCAACACTGTTTATTTATTCGTATATTGTATAAAAAGCCCTCCTTTTATTTTTTCTAAATGCAGAATAGAGGTTTGCCAGCTCTTAATCAGGCAGCAGTTTTTTACTTTGAAATACTTGCTTGCACTTGCATAAAATTCGGCGCACTTCTAAACAACCTTTCGCACTCTGTTAGTGTGTCCTTCGTTGTGCAAGTATTTATTTCCCTGATATCCTGTCAGCTTTGCACACTTCCATTAAAGCCCTTTGTCACACTGTGTAATTGAAATATCTTTTTCCGTGTGCAGAATATTACTTTTTGTAACACTTGTCAAACTAGCAAACCAAAAGTGACAGACACAAACATTTCAGCTTCAGTAGGGCATCCATTTTCTTTATTCACAAAACATCTTGAGTGGCAAAAACTAGAACACTGATCGGAAAGCCTGCATCTTGCAACCTAGTTATTTGTTTTGAAAATAACACATGCCATTTTGAGGTAGCATGACTAACAGCTGAATTTAGGAGGTAACCTGATTTTACCACCTTAGAATGTGAAGATAATTTTTTGAATGGGGACAGTAAGGCCAGCCTAAGTGACTCACATGAAAAGGTAGCTCAAAGTCAAGAAACTACAGCAAAATATCTTGCAGAACCTCATGTATGAAATACAATTCATGCCATTTTTGCTTCAAGATTTCTAGTCTTGGCCCGCTTTTGTTTTACGGAAGTACAATCTACTAGCGCAAGGCAATCGTCCAGATAACTGAAAACAATAATTATAAGGCTGCTCGGTGCCGTTTTCAACACCGAATACAAATAACTTGCGATATCGCACCGCACGGATGCTACACGAGAGCCAATGTAAAAGCTTATTGCCCCAAAACACAAGAGTAGCATTCAGGTGAAAAAAAATAGTACATAGTTTCGTAAAGCCATCAACAGACATCGTGCATTTGTTAATGAATGAAAGTTCATCTTTCTGGGTGGTACAGTTTTCCTCACTATTCACAAGGTCGGGGTATGGTACTGAGTAAAGCAAGTTGACTATATCAGTGCTAAAACCACTGTTGTGAAGAATTCTACAACCTGGTTAGATTTTTTCACAAGAAGAGGGTCCTGAAACTTCAAGACAGACAGATGAAATTGGAGGAATGTTTTCATGTTGCCTAGTGCCAAGTTTTGTGGTTATCATTTGAAAAGGGACGTCCAGTTTGTTGGTTTTCGCTGAAAAAGAAAAAAAAAAAAGATTCCAGTGCATTTTTAGCTCTTTTCACTGAAGATAGAAGTCAACACATGTTGCTAGCTTCCAGCAGAGCACTGGGTCATCTTTAACTCTGCTGGTTTTTCTGAAACATTCCTAAAATTTTCCCCAATAGTAGCGGATGCCTTCGAAGCGTGTAGTTCTTGATGCTAACAACGAAACACCCGTTCTTATTTGCAGTAACAAGCCTCAGCCTGTCTACAACAAAGAAACTAATAATTGGGGGATAGATGTTGGACAGATCTTGGGATCCATTTTTAGAACACGAAGGTGTTCACTATGAATCCAAAGCCCACCTTTCAACCCTTGTGCAAGTGTCCATGTATGAGCCATTTTAATAAAAATTTTGTTAGGGATCTTCTTGTTTTTTGTTCTTCCCATTGCATGCACTTGATCTTGTACTGTTTAAATTTGCATCGCATATCCACACCAATTGTCCCAATGTTTTCCTTTACGGGTGGATATGTAAGCTGTCTAACTGCTTTCTAATGTCCAGGAACCCACCTCTGTTGGCGACAATGGTAGCGTGCCAACTGAAGCAGCCCTTGAGCCAGCACCAAGTGCTTCACAGGCTGAGGTCGTGCCTTCTACAGAAGCCCCGCCGTCAGACACGGCTACCCTGGAGGAAAGGGTTGAGAGGTTAGTTGCTACATAGGAGCAGTGCTTCATTCGGAACGGCAAGATTAAATTCTTTTTCAAGGCAGGAACCCTCCAATGCCTCTGAGAAACTTGCTGGGCAACACTGATAGCAGCGTCACAATGTGGTGATTGCACGTACTTTGTAGAACAAACACGATATCTAGAAGCTAAAATGGCTCCTACTGCAAGTATTTTGGGCATTTTGAGGCATTTTGGGGCCTGTTCCGCCTCTTCCTGAGAGGGTGGCTGTGTTGCTTGCGGAAGAATGTAGCTTGTTATTCTCTCACCTTGGCACCCCTTTTGCATCGCTTTGCAAGGGCTGTGCATGTATACAGAAGGCGTTGTTGCGTGTGAGCAGACCTTGTTGACCGGGGTATTCTGGATGTGCCACAACTTCCGTGTTAATTTCAGCGTCAATTACAGCAGTGCTGACAAAATTTATTTTATGGTTGCATTTTTCACAGCGCTCTGTAACAATGCTGCTTTGTCTTTCAATCCTTCTTACCGTGTTCCTGCATTCTGTCATCCCTTGAGTTAAAGACTGCACAGCTGAAGAATTGACCGAGCTCATTTCCAAAACAGACTAGAGTGGTTTCAGTTATTAGAACATTTTAATGCAATAGTAGAACTATTATGGCATGACAATATTTCCACTCTGAGAATACTTTAAAGACTACAGGTGCTTGTTCTATTGGGCCTTGGTCGAGCTGTAGCGAAGTAGATTGCTTTGACATATACTTTTTAGACTTCTGAGACATGCACTGATAATTTAGACACGTGGCAGAAGTGCGAAGCCCATAGTAACTATGGAATGTGTCCATGCGATAAAGGTGGAAAAAGCCAAATCTGTCCAGGCGTCGGCCAAGTGCCCCTTGGGCCATGTGAAATATTGTAGCATGCTTCCTGTGTACTTTGCTTGGAATGCGCCTATAGCCTTGGCAGAACGGCGGATCGTGGACTGGGTGGTCGGGGTGCTGCCACACTAATCTATAAATAAATGCACTAGCGTAGATTTTGTCTGTGTGCAATCCTGTTACATAAACATACCGTGCACCAGTTTTACATGTCCTTCTTACGCTCTTGCTTTAAGGTAACATATATCCTCCCCCCCTCTCATAGGAATGTGTATTTTCTTAACTTATAAATACTAGTGAACTAACAGCTACCTTACAGTAAGGTTGCATAATCATCTCGTTGATCGCAAAGATTCATTTTTCGCAAGTACATTAATGACAAGACACTAGAATGTGTGTTCATATTTTTGTTAGCCACTAAAACTGCATGGCAAGAAAGTTCAAGGTCATGCTTCCTTTGCAATATTAAAAGTTGTCTTACAACTGGTGCAATGTAAATTTATGTGCACTGCCCTGTGTACTACTTCTTTCTTTCACCTCAGCTCAACTCTATATTGTACAAGTCTTTTGATGTTTGGATGTGTAATATGTACAAATTTTTTATATCTGTATACTCGGCCAATCTGGTCAGCATGTTGCAGAACTGCTGCTGAACGTAACTGACAACACAGCCAAAGAACAGGAGTCCTCTATTGATGTGCCATGCAAATGTGCTGTTCTTTCAGAAATTATATGTAGCAGTGTATCTCCTTTTTCAATACCGTGTAGAAATGGGTTGGAGCTTGACTAAGCTGTGCTAGTCCAGTCTACGATAGAAAACAGCGCTAAATGGCGGGACGAAGAAAAGACACAAACCACGGCAAAATTATATGACGCAAAATTATATGACGCTGCCCTTGCCGTGACAGTTTTCTTAACCGTACGCGATGAAGTGCGCAGGCGTGGGGCCCGCAAAACGGCAAAAGTGATGGCCTCAGGGGACTCCTCAGCGTACCGAAATGCCGAAGCCGGAGAGGAGTCGTCTGCTACCTTTCCAACCACTTTGGGGGCGCTCGCGGGAGGTGTGCTCGAGCATGCGCTTTAGCTGTTTTGCAAACTGTCTATTGTGTGCATCATTGCACATCTTAAACAACTTGAACTTGTGTATTCGATTTTAATGTGAGCGTCGACTTCAGGTAGCAAAAATATGAAAAAAAAATAATAACTTGTGTTTAATTGCAGTAAATACAGTACGCGATGCACTGAATCTAGAACCAAGGACATGGATCGCTTATGTGTGCAATTAAACTTTGTATCTTCAACTTGACTTTCCCAACGTTATCTTGACCCACTAGTATTTGCCCACTAGTTTCCCTTGTGGCAGCTGTGCATTTAATCTATTAGTCATTTGTGCAATGGAACAACATGTGTTGATTGAGGAATTGAGGTACTGTATTGATTTAAAAACTTGCGTGGAGGCCTGTGTTCCTAAGTGTTATTTCTATAAATTCAGGGCAAAGCGTCTTGTTGAGGAGCGGCGCCTGCAGAAAATCAAGGAGGAAGAGGAGGTGAGCTTCCAAGGCACCACTGTTTTTCTTCTTGCAGATGAGCTTAATTTATTTGCCTGTTGCTGTTTACATTGTCACCCCTTCCGAGTATCTGCACTACATTTGAACCCCTTTATAAGAAACACTGATATGAGAGACAGATGGTTGCTATAAAAGACTCCACTGTGTGTACGGTAGAATACAGGTTGATAGGGAAATGCATACGTGGTACCCTGCTTATATAATTAATGTCTCATATAAAGGACAAGAATTGCTGCCTGCATCATTCCTCTTGTAAACGGGTTTAACTGCATATCTTAGATAGAACATTCATAGCATTCAAGTTGAGTCGATTCCTGGTACTATTCTAAGTTGCTATCATGTGCTTTGAAACAAAGAAAATTACATTTGCACCTGCCTCGTTTGAGTTAAAATATATATATTGCAAATTGGTAATTTACATATTGTATTGTGTTATAAATGTGCAAATCTCATTAGAATAGTGGTAGAAATTGACTTTCGGAAGAACTCAAGCGATAACCTGTAAAACATGCTGAATTTTACAAATTACTGTACTTACACCTTATAAATCGGTATAACAAGCTTATAAACATTAAAAAATGATGGATTGATGTCGGGGAAATATGTTCACTTGTAACCTTGAAGTAAGGCTTTGCAGCAGTGTAGATATCCCCTGGTAAGGTGTGTTCACGGTACATCACCCCTTTACTGAAGTGAAACCACTTTTAGAGGGGGTTACGCGCAGTTTAGAAAAATGTCTGTTTGTTCACTTAAAATAATTCAAAATTCAGTATAATTATTTCAATTCAGGTTGAAGTGAATTCAAGTACTGCAATATTCGTTCGATTATTCGAGTATTCACACAAGCCTAATCTGGGGTGATGGTATTAGTTTCAAATCGAGTCTGCTTTTAGGGAAATGCTAACACTACCTCCCAGTTGTGTTCGGTGACTGTCATTGTGGATGTGCCCCAGGCTGTGCGGCAGAGTGAGATTAAGCGAAGGCGAGTGGCCAGGGAGCTGCAGATGGCACAAGAGTCGCGGGAGGATCAGCAGCGCCGTGAGTTGGCACGTCAGCGGGCGCAGGACAAAGAAGAAGAACGCAAGCACAGAGAACGCATCCAGGCCCAGATTGCACAGGACAGGTAAGACATCACTTGTGAACAGTAGCACGCGTGCCAGTGACTGCACCTTTTTGAGCGACGCACCCCTCCCCTCCTTTGGCATCCCTTCATGCCCCTTAGGAATAATGGCCGGGCGGTTTCTTCTTTTTCATGAGCAATTGACGGCATGTCTCACACACGGGTTAATGGTGTTGCATGCGTCCTCTGTGCGATGGAGACAGCCAGCTCATTTCATAGCCGCTCCTACTGCGTTCGTCTCCCACCCTTGCGAGCTTTTACTTGCGGGTAGAACAAAAGATGGGAAAGCGGTACAAGTCGGTTCACTCTCGCAAGGAAAAGATGGTTGTGCACAAACTACTGAAGTACACAGAAAACACGAGTGGAGACAAACTTTCAACATTTATTTTTCGTCGCAGTCACATATTCACTCGCATGTTAACGATGGTTATCATGTTAGCCTGCTTTGCAAATTGCTACAGGGCATGCAAGAACCTCATTTCACAGCCCCATAGAAGAAACTGATGTTTAGTCAACACAAGCATCCCCTCTCGATGAGATATAAAAGGCTTCCATCAGTCCCTGTGCAGTGCTGTTGGGACTTTCGTCCGAAATTTTGATGCCTCTGAAATTCGGAGCACACATGCAATGCCATTGACTTTATTGATTATCGATAATTCACTGTTCCCTTACATGGTCGAAATTGGACAGTGCGAGCCTGAGCTTGCCGACATCTTCTGTGTCCTTATGTAGTTTGTGTGCAGCTATCTTCTCATTTCTTGTGAAGACTTCCCTGGTACTATGCAGAACAGGCTAGTGAGAAAGGAAAAAATATTTTCTAAAGGGACACCATACAGAAAAACAATTTTTCATGTATCGGTAATGCCACTCTGTCACAATACAAGTATCATCACTAGAGACTGGATTTCAGGCAAATGCCTATTTAGTTCCTTGCATTCCTATCATGCAATTTTGATATGTATGGGCATGAATTAGAGGTTAAGGAGGGTTTTCAGAGTGTGTTTGTATTGCCTATAAATGCTTATTTTTGACTTTCGTGCCTAAATTCCTATAAGTGCCCACAAATGCCTCTTTTCAAGATCGGTGCTCACACGAGCATTATTTAACCTCAAAGTGGCTGCTAGCTTGTGGTCTGCTAACCCTCCTCCTGACATTATTTTAGTGGCGTAACAGTCTATGGGCATTGCGAATAAAGACTCATTTTAAGTTCAGTGCTTGTCTAGTGTACAGTATCTTTGTTGACAGGAATTTAAATCGCAAAAAAAAAAGCATTCACAAGAATAGGGGCCTGGACGGGTGCCCGTCTTGTCCTTTCGTCTTGTGGATGGGTGCTTTTTGACTCTTAAGAATTTTCCTCTTGTGAGTGGGGATCTGCTGTGATTTCTTCTTCGTAATCTCCACGTTTGTTTTGTGGACTTGACGCGGACACTTTCCTTGTGCCATGCAGGGCAGATCGCGCCGAGAAATATCACAAGGAGAAAGCCGAAGAGGAACAGCTCAAGCGGCAGCGCGAAACTCAGCGGCTCCTCGAACAACAGCAGAAGGCTGTGCAGGAAGCAGCTGCACGGAGGTGCGAAGCTGTCCTCTCTTATGTGTATGCGTGCACATGCAAGGACTCTATGGGCATATCCCGCTTGAAATGACTTTAGGGATGGAGGAGACTTGCAGTAAATGGGAATCTTTATGATCTAGTGTGGTGTATTGATATGGTCACTGTTGGAAATTTTGCCAAATTGTCACTTTTGATGCGAGGCCAGGACTGGGGATACGGAAAGACCTGGAGAGGACAAGGATTTGTTTCTTGCAGTCAGTGGCATGCCCATGGCTCGTAGTGCTGCTGCGTTTTAGCATTGTTGATTGTAACGGAATTACAAGTTGATGCACACCTTTGCTTGGAAGGTGTAGAGGGGTCCTCTACATGCTAGTAACACTGCACGTTTACATGCTCCAAGGTGCTGGCAGAAAAGTATGATAGTACTCCAAGCTATTTCATGATCAAAATGTTGCCTCGCCGCTGTGGTCTAGTGGCTACGGTACTCGGCTGCTGACCCGCAGATCGCGGGTTCAAATCCCGGCTGTGGCGGCTGCATTTTTGATGGAGGCGGAAGTGTCATAGGCCCGTGTGCTCAGATTTGGGTGCACGTTAAAAAACCCCAGGTGGTCGAAATTTCCGGAGCCCTCCACTACGGCGTCTCTCATAATCATATGGTGGTTTAGGGACGTTAAACACCACAAATCAATCAATCAATCATGATTAAGTTGTTTTTAATTGAAACACTGCTTCTAATATCATTTCATGAGTGCCACCTCTGAGTAAGTCCTGAATGCAAATTTCTTTACTTGAAACAATGTTCAGGTACCATAAAATTTGCTGTCAGCCTAAGTGATACACAATATATATTTTTTCTCATTTCTAAGGACAACTGGGTTTTCAACCCACAATGCCATTCAAAAAATGCGTCTGAGCGCAGTCATCTCGCTTCTTTTGTAACAGTCATGTTTTCTATTGCCATCTTGCAGCCAGGTAGCGAGGATACAGTTCCGTTTGCCAGATGGGTCATCTGCCGCACACACCTTCGATGCTGCCGCCACACTTCAGGATCTGCACGACTATGTTGTGGAGGTAAGAGGGTCTGCACGCATGATCTGTCTACACAGGAGGTTATGCATTCAGACAGGCAGGTAGTGGCTCTGAGCAGTGGTGAATGAATGTTCTAACTTTTTTCTTCTCTTTTTTATCTTTTTTGTCTAGTGAGCTGCACTAGAATTTGTATTTGTAGACATGAGAGAATATTTGAGCACTTCAAATATTTGAATGAATATTCGAACTAATCTGTGTTTTGCACTGTTTCCCGGTTCCTTTTTTCTAGTGGCTGCTAGTTGGTTCAATTAGCACTAAACTTTTATAATATTCAACGTACTTAAGATTAAAAAAAAGACTTCATTTACTAAAAATCAAATAGTGCTTCTACATAGTAATGTGTAGACACTAGGCTTGCTAGAATAGTGAACTTTAGGAATAGTAAACAAAGGGATTTTAGCTGAAAAATTTAGAATAGAATTTGAATGCACAAGTGTATATCACATATTATAAAAAAGGATGGCCATTTTTGTCATGACCTGCACAATATATTTCATTAAACGTTGAAACAAGGCCTGTGAAAATGCTTTTTTTTGTGTGTTTTGAAGAAATTCTAAAGAAATATGGTACGTTTTAATGTTCACTATACTTGGAGCATATAAGACAGTATAACAAGCTTTTAAACTTTAAAAAATGGTGAATCATTGCGAGAGTAACATGTTCATTCAACCTTGAAGTGGGGCTTTGCAGCAGTGCGGATTTTTACTGGACAGGCGCTTTCACGGCATAGCACGCCTTCACTAGTAAGACCATTTTTACAAAAAGTTACATGCGGACTAACAAATAGTTCATCTCGAACACTTCAAAATTTCCATCAATTTAAATTCATAGCAAAGTGAATTTGAATACAGTAATAATCGTTCAAATATTCAAAGCGCTTTTTTTTTTTTCAAACAAGCCCAGCAGAACCGCTTGCAGTCTCATCTTCAATTATGAGAAAAAAACACCCAGTTCTTCGTCTTGCAAGTCCGATAGACCCGCATCACTTTCCTCTGGCATGGCAGCGATCTCTTCATCAGTCGGAAACCTTGCTGTTGAGTGCAAACCAAAGAATGCTCTACACACATTCAAGTATTTTGTCCACAAACATAAACCATTGTATACACACAGCTTTCACATCAACGGTAGTGAATACTGTCTGAGTAACAATTTATTATGCTTCAGTGAAGTACAAGCTCCACACGTGAGCAGAAAGTTTCGCTTAATATTGATCAAGTACAGCAAAACAGTCAAAAACCTATCATTTGATCACCGCAAGCCTTTCTTGTTTTTTTCCGCCATTTCAACTTTTCACCACAGTGCTTTTAGATGACTGGTGGTGATCTTGGTCGGGGATCGTGCAAGCTGTATGTCGATATTTGGAACACAGCTCATTTGAATTGTTCAAAATCGTTTTTGTTAAAATTATGCACCTGAACATCGACGTTTACAAATTTGAATGCTGGGGGCGAAAAGATTAAAGTATGCCCGTAGTTTGTACTCAAATGGTGAGTGTCTCTGCTGTGACCAAGCAGGGATGGCTTAGCTGTGTACTGTGCTTTGTCCTTTCTGCCACGCAGACTGTGCAGCCGAGTTTCAGCAACTTCACCCTGTCAACAACGTTCCCGCGCCGGGAGTTCACCCAGGAGCAGTACCAGAGCAGCCTTCGGGAGCTCGAGCTGGCCCCATCGGCTGTAATTCTCGTGGTACCTGTCAGCGTAAGTTGCTCACTCATCTATCTACGGAGGCTGTTCTCAAACTCGAAACAGCATCTTAGACGGTTTACAATGGCAGCCTAATAAGCAGCATCCCCTGTCGTCCAAGTGGTGGAACGTGGATGCTTGACATCTGTGAGACATGATGCCACTTCAAGCTGACAAGAGAGTGCTAACGACCTGAGACAAAGCTATTACTTTTTAACCTTCTTTGCATGTTGAAATATTTGTAATCTCAACACTAGTCTCAGTAGGTTCTTAAAAAAGCATCTACTTCTGGGCAGAACATTAATGGTGAAATTCAAGCCAATGGCTTTTATACAACTATGATATGTAGTCTAAACAGCTCCTACGGTTCAATCATGCTCCTAAACTCAAGATGGCCACTATAACAGGCCCATAACATCTATTCGGAGTTTTCAGTCCTCACTGTTATTGCTGCAAGATTCGTTGTCGGGCTCGGCAACATCACTGCTGGGGGCAACGTTGCCGTCACACAGAAAGTTGACAAAATACCACGCAGTGTCGCCTTGTGCATTTTAGTCACATCCGATTGGCACGAAGTGGTTTTTAGCACATAGAGCCACTGAACCTGTCAATCCAGTGCCGCTACAACTGAGTGGGATGTTGGCTACTTCCACGCCTAACAAGCGATCACTCTTGTTGGTAATTTCATAAAATTATCTCCGGATGCATTGACATCACCAAGTGATGAATTCCCGATTTGCTGCATTAGCACCACTGGCACATAGCGGGGCCGCCTTGACCATTGGACAGCCACATGTTTCGAAAGGGCCCCTCTGAAAGCAATTGGCTGAAAATACTGCGCTTGCTTCACCTCCTGCTCAGCTGTGGACAGTAGGACTTAGCCAAAAAATTGTTTGTGTATAAAACTGCACCAACCGTTCTGAACATGCATGGTAACTCGCAAACACGGTAAACACAAAGCCAATGCAATTCGCATCAAACCACAAGAACTGTGGGAACATCTGTCAGCTCTAGGCAATCCATTATGTAGATGTTGAGGCGCTGGGCGAAACGTTGGGTGGAAATCACATGCAAGATGCCACTCGAAACGCTTTCAGTATCTTTGAAAAGCTTTGCCAAAATTTTGTCGGAATCCTCGAGCCACTGAATTTCTTAGGTGGTCAGTGAGGTCAGCATCGCCCTGGGCAGACGTGTCAACCAATGCTATCACAGCGAAACGTTGTGTAGGTAGCGCAGGCATATTTTAGAAGGCGTCGAAAGCAAAAACAGAAGTGAAATAAAAGTTCATGACATCTTCTCATTGAGCCAGTGGAACGTTTGAGCCATTCTGGTATACGAGCACAATGTTGTGAGACTGGTTTTTAGGCTTTATAATTTCCCAAAATGTTTACTATGGTTTGCATGGAGGATGTTTTAGATCTTCTAGTGCAGCTTTGTTTTCGATTTTTTCAGGAGGCAGGTGTACTCACGTAAGCAATTTGAATGTTCCTCCCATTTCACAGCTGAGGCCAGTTTGATAATGATACGAAACAACCATTTTTTCTATCACAATATCCTTTTCAATGAGGTAGAGTACCGCGGTTTGTCTACACTACTGATGATGTATGCCAGAGGAATGCTTTTATTGGTTAAATATGAATTAACCATTTGAGATAAGTTTATTATCTTTGACAATGCCGGCAAAGGGTCAGTGGGGAAGATTGTTCATAGCATGATTCTAGTCATGAGTTAATAGCTGAGAAGTCTACCTTGTTGTAGTCTCTAAGGTTTCTTTAGTTGCTTTTCGGGTATAGGTCTTCGTATGTAGAGTATGATGGGAAGTAAAACTGCCTGAACCAATACAGGGTTCAAGACCAGAACAATGTCTAGCATGTTACAACCTTGAACGGGAAGTAAAACTGCCTGAACCAATACAGGGTTCAAGACCAGAACAATGTCAAGCATGTTACAACCTTGAATGATAGCTGATGTCCACAAAAGGGTCCCTTTGTTTATTAATTATTACAATTACGCATTGGAAATAAAAGAACGTGAGTAAGACAAGCATCATTTGCTTCTGTGCGAGAACTTTAGCAGTGCGACAGTTAGTAGTCACAGCTTCCTGCTTCTAATTGCCATTTAGCCTCTTATTTAGGTGTTTAGGTGCAGTGCAGTGATTGTTTCTGTGTTCCTTCCAAGCCTCATAATGTCATAGAGCTAACGCCAACGATGGGCCTCAATGCCCTCACGGGTAAGGGTGACTCAAAGGCTGAATACGGCAACCCAGTGATGCTGCCAGTGAAAGTGGCAGAACTTCTGATAGTAGCGACGGAAAATGTGGCCATCAATGGCGTTGAGTGAATTGAAATAAATATTGCTTAGTTTCATACTGTGATACCTAGAGGGGAATCTGGCACTAGTGTCTATGCAGGCTTGCTCAGCTGCCCATGTACCACCATGGAAATGATGGGAAGTAGAGACAGCGGATATGTTTCCGATCTGCTTCAGACGGCTTTATTATTGAAATTTTCGACGATTGCTTTCAAAGTGTAAAACATGATGTTATGTCCGAATATTGAAGCATGCTTCAATCTTTTGTATGTAAAACTTATTCCAAAACATTTCCGTGACTGTGAGATGTAAGGGGAACCTGGACAAATTCAATCACTAGAGTAAGCATTGCTCTGCCATTGCGTTCCAGATTTCACAGTTGGATAAAATGAATATTCACAACACCTCAAAATGAATGAGCTTGTTTTTGTCTAAAAAATATGTATTATCTATTTATGGAAATAGCAGTGTCCCCTAAGGAGGGGCATTTCTCTAGGTGCTTTAAGTTTTTCGTACCATACAGTGCTTTATTGAGTGCGAAATGCTTAAAGGGACACTAAAGGCAACTATAAAGTCGACGTTTGTTGAAATAGCGGTCCAGAAACTTTGTAGTGCTACTTTTGGGCCAAGGAAGGGCTTATCTTGAAATAAGATCACGTTTTAGTGGCTCGCCTCGGGTTAGCGCACTTCAAGTTACCCGCTTCAAGAAGCGGACCGACTCACGTCATCGTTGCCATGCACAACGTTGCCCGACTTTGCCGCGCAGTTGCCGACACTAGTAGACGGGAATGAAAGCAGCGGAAGCCACAGCAGCAACAACAGCCATTGATCAATTTCCTGCCATTGGCTCCGAGATGGCAGACGTGTTTTGGTTCAACTGCACCCCGCTAAATGGCATGACCTGTCCAGTGTAACCACGTGCAAATTGAATTGTTGAACTACTTGCGCCATTCTCCATAGTAATGTCTGGCGGTTCTTTTTTCCATGAATCAAACAGACAAACAAGCAGCATTTTATTGCGTCTCTTGATGCGCGGAAGGTTCTTTATTTAGTGCAGCTAGATCGATTACTACTGATCAATCGTACGTGGTTTGTCTGACGTCATTGGTATCATTTTGGGAATGTCCTACTGGGGTGCATGTATTCTTGTGCATTTACCTTAATTTCTCGGTAAGTAGGGCACTGCTGTTGGTCATTGTAACTGTTGTCGATCATTGAGCTTTCACTCTGATGTAAATTGTTATTTGACTTTTGTGTCCCTTTAACGTATCGGCTGCTGTGATGCCAGGTGCATCTGTCCAGGTAGTCTGTCCCCAAGGCATCACTTATTTTATTGTGAAGTTGAGTCAGAGGAGCGTGAAGGTGCACCTACTTAGCTTCGCCGTCGTCTTGCATTCGATTTGAACAATTTTTGGTGAGACACACGTGAACTCTATACTATATCCTGCATTGGCATGGGACACTGCATCAACGAGCAGTGGTGAGTGCATAGTGCTTTGCACTGTCAAATACAACTTCACAGTGAACCAGTCTTCAGCCTCCTTGAACAACAGAGGCACTGTTTGAGTGCTTCTCACCACACCCCACTACTCGGGTTGCATGAGGAAAAACTATAGAAAAAGATCTATAGGCAATTCGTTAGCTAACGCTATGCAATCCAAAGCCTATGCTTCCCATCACTGTCATGAAGGTACCATTGATAGCAGTGCCAGTTTCCTTTTTAGGCTGCTGCATAAAACTTTTTGAAATATTGGTTTTTCATGCCTTAGAACAGCATGAGTAAAAAATTTATATTGCTGTTTATGGACATTCAGTGCCATGCATGGCTATGGCAATCAGTGATGAATGTACTTGGCATGTTTAGTGATGTCATGTCATGTTCATCGAGTTAAAAATAGGTGCATATTATGCAGAGGTGCACGTTGTAGACTGGAAGATGTGTTACTTTTATAACTCTCTGCTCAGGTGCAGTCTTGCTTCCAAAAGTATGAATAAAATATTTTATGTTTGAAAAACTGCTTAATGTGCAGAAAAAGTAATTGCGTATCTGAAATTTTCACATACACTTGTATCAATCAGCCCAACAACTTCTATTCAAATTGTTGAATTTCGTTTTCAAATTTCAATACCCTTCATGCCCTGAAAGCAACAAATCCTCTATGCAATAGCAGTGCACTGATAGTTGGGCGATTGACTAAGGGTTTATGGTTATAAAACGGCACAAAACACTGACAAAGAAGAAGACACACTGCTTGTGTTCAGATACTCTTCATTGTCCATGCTTTGTTTCTTATTATTGCACTGTTCTATAACCATGCAGTGCACCCACTTTGTTGCAAATTGGTTCAAAAGCCAATGCACTACCTGGAGTGATGTTGCAGAGTGTGGCTCCTGTTTGCGTGCAGACGCCCAGTGTCGTGGTGCCAGCAGCAGTGAGCAAATCGGGGGCGTCACTCATGAACCTCCTGTGGTCTCTGCTGACACCATTTGGCGTGATTTGGAGTCTCTTCGTCGGCCTCATTTTGGGTCACCTGACCCTCCAGTGTCAGCTCCCGACAGCAGCACCTCAGCTCAGCGCAGTGACCAGCCTTCTTTTGGGTCTCAAGAGCAGCAGCAAGCACAGGGGTGAGGGTACCGATTCCAGGCGTCCAAACATAAGGAACTGTTTTTCTTTGTTACACTCTATTAATGTGAACTAACGGACGATGATAGCAAGGAAAGTATAGATGATGCTATTAGGAAAAAGAAGTGGATGGTAAGATAACTTGGGCTGGCAGGGAATGAACCTGCAACTTTTGAATAAGGCAGGCAGAACAAGTGTCCCACACTTGCCGTCATGGCTACTAGAGCACGTGCATCTGTGCATGTGACATTGGTTCTTCTAAGCTCTATTGGAGTGCCTTCTTCAGGTGCAGTGTATAGTGCCCACTACATGCTTGTATGGAAATGTATAACTGCACACATTTATAATCATGGGCCTAATGATGATTCCTGTCGAATAGTTATGACTGAGCCCTTTTTTAGTGTGTGGGCTGTCTTTAACCAGCCACTCATTATGCTATTCATGGATAAAAAAGCATGGTGTGATTCTACCTTCATGCCACACAATATTTTATCTTTTAGTGTGACTTCTTGCCTGACATTACACCTGTTGTATAGCATCTTTCCATCGCATCTTCAAGCACTGGCATGGCCCTGTGGCAGAATACTTGATTACCAAAAGTTCAATCCTGGCTTGAACCAAAATTTTCATTCTTGCCATGTATTGCGATGTTCTTTTTTTGTGCTCACAAAGAACACACAGACACTGCAGTTTCTTCAACAACAGCTCTTCTATGCGATCACATTAAAATGAAGCAGGAAGAGCTCGCACCACACAGACCGACAAGAAGCAAAATGCTGCAGATGCAGCAGACGCTTGACCATGCTGTATCCAACAGCAGTCAAGTTCTCTACTGTGGTCTGCAGCAAGAGCGGCACGGGCACACCCTAGTCATCGCGCACAGTTTTGTCGGATTCTGTCCAAAAGTAGTACTGTATGGACTTCGGTTTAGATCTAGGGGCAGCCTGTGTGATCTCGATGCCAATCTTGACAGTCGCGCATTGGCCATTGACTGGCGTTGTCATTTACAGGGAGGGTAGACTATTTGAGGGGTGCACAAAACTGGTAGCTTGCATGAGATGAGACTGCGGAAAACGGGTGGCAATGTCTTAATGTCTTGGGTGCTGGCTCATAATGATGTAGCAGCACGCTGTCGGGTCTGCTGCAGCCATCCATTCACTACTGTAACTGGCTGGCTGAACTAAAAGATGTTAAAAGATGTTCCTAATATGCGAGATTGTGTGCCGATGAATGATTTGATAAGAACACTGGAAAATGTCGGCAAGTGTTGTGGTAGCTCCAGTTCAATGAGAATGGTGCTAGAATGTCTGCTACTAGTATCTGCAGGTTGTGAGAGGAGCACATATCGTAAGGACAATGATCACTCGTGACAGGGTCATCAGTACTCTATCATCGGCCTCATGTCGGTGATCTGTTGACCTCACTGGGCTGCATATTTTGCTGCTTACAGGGGCGCACGCCGACGGCGCACAGCACCGCAGCCGCAGGGTGAAGGTGTGTACCAACGTGAAGGGAACGTATACCGCTTCTCTAACCAACGCATCAGTGATGAAGACGATGACACCAACACCTGGAATGGGAACTCCACTCAGCAGATGTAGCCTTGCCTTCAAATGAGGGTGGCTGGGAGCAGTACAAAAAGAAAATATATTATATATATGTGTCTGTGCAACAGGGAATGGGCCTTGTTCAAGTCAAAGGTGTATTAGATGTGACGTAAGCAATACTGCAGCAGTATTAGCGTGATTTTTTTTTTTCGGCAGTTCAAACTGCAAATAGCCCTTGTTTAAACAGGTGCCTTTCTGCAGTTCCAAGACAGAGCCTACAGTTATGTTAGCGTGGTTAAACAAACTCGACTAATCAAGGAAAATTGCAGATGTTAAACAGACAGTTTGTTTTTTTAGTCCAATTATATTGGTCTCTAGACTACCCTGATAAAGATGCACACACAAAGTACTAGGAAAAGTCATTGTAAATGTTATGGCTCTTTTTTTTTAGTATTGCTTGCCAACCATACAATGTACATATTCTTAGCAGAAATGTTTAACCTAACCATGTGACCTAACTACATGCACACACAATCTCTTGTTGTGATGGCTGCACTGCACCACAAATTTATTGCTCAGCAGAGGTGTGATAGAAGTAGGTGCGAGTCTTCATCTCCCAAAGCAAGGTGTCAAATTAAGCTAGCCAGTATTTCATGGCGACATTTATAGTGCAAAAGCTAAAAGGAACAGTCGGTGAATATTTATTGCAAGATTAAGTTTTTTCTCGAGATGGTTCCGACTCTCAAACACACTTTATATATGGATAGTGCACATTTAAAACCATATTTTAAATACTTGATCAACTTTTTTTTTGAAATTTATGAGTTTATGTATGTTTTAATACTGGTTTCAAATATGCATTTGCCTTTATTCAAATGAGTAGTTGATATGCACATTTGAAATATGCCGTCTTATATTAAACAATTCATGCGCCTTTTTGGGAGCAAGTATTTTTTCAAGACACGAACTACCGTATTTACTCGATTCTACCGCACCCTCGATTGTAACGTGCACCCGATTGCCACCGCAAAAAAAAAAAAAAAAAAACGTAAGACATCGATTGCAACGCGCACCCATTTTTCTCGCTGGCCTGCATGATCACACCACTCGAAAAAACGACTCCTTTCGGGAGCGTCTTCCATTTAAATATGAGGTACGGGCGAAGCTTGTGCCCATCTGACGTGTAACAGAGCATTGCCGTCACTGTAGTTTTACCGTGGACCGATGTCAGCACGCGAACTTGCTTTGCCCCCTTCTTCTCGACGGTTGTGGTGCCAGGCATGTCGAAGTAAAGAGGCGTCTGATCAGCATTCTCGATTTGCCCAAGCAGGTAGCCATTGTTGCGCCGCAAGTTTAGGACGAACCTCTGAAAACTGTGAAGTTTTTCATCGTACTCCTCCGCAAAACTTTTCGCATATGTATGTTCCCCTTCGGAGATAAAAGCCTTTCCTCTTCATAAAGTTAGTTAGCCAGCACCTGCTCGCTTTAAACTGGCTACCTTTTTTCTAAGACTAATTGCATAGCCCACACTTGGAGCAGTTCTGTCGTCACGGGCCGCTGTGCCGCTCGCTGCTCAAGCACATACTCGCCGAGCAGCTCTTTAATTTGCGGAAACCGACCCTGCTGTGGTCCACTGAAGCCTTTGCGTGAAGCTTTGCTGTCGACAATCTTCTGCTTTTGTTTTCGCCGGTCCCGCACGCACGTTTCGGGAACTCCGAACGACCGCGATGTGGCCCGATTTCCGTCCGTTTCTGCTCACGCGACGACTTTTCTTTTAAAAGCGGCATTGTGGTGCACTCGAGTTTTTGGAGTCGGCCCTTCCACGCCGTCGATGCTAATGCACTACTAGATGACGAACTCCTCAGCACACGTACGAAGCGCCGCACATGGGAAACACATAGGCATAAATGGCCGGCGCACCATGCCGACGCACGTAGGGGGCGGCCATTTTGGATTTGCCGATGGCAATAGATTGACCGTAATTTTCTTGTTCGTACTCGATTCTAACGCGCATGCGATTTATAAACTCGCTTAACCGGAAAAAAGGTGCGCGTTAGATTTGAGTAATTACAGTAAGTCACCATACCACAGTAATCAAAAATTATAACTCTAGCAAAATAACAAAGGATGTTCTAAATTAATCTGAACAAGAACATGCACGAGAGCCGATTCGATGTCAAGCTTGCATTTCTCTCAGTGAATGTTCAGCATACAACTTTGGTTGAGTTGGTTTAAACATGTGTTCTTATTTTACTGCATGAAGTTCCAATTCCAAATTATTTTGACACGTTGGTTTACTTTATAACTCCTTCAGTTTAGAAAAAATCTGGCTCTCAGAGAGGCAGTTGAAATATTTGATATCCTAAAAACTGTATGTCTAGTACTAAAAGATATAATCTACACATCTGTACACAAATATAGTTAAAATCAGCAAGATCAATAGTGAATTTACCCAATTGCAATGTGCCCATTTTGGAGGGAAAATAGACCTTAAAACCGCATGTGCATTAGATTCGAGTACAGATTTAGCTGTATTTTTGTTTTTGGGTCACTCAAGTCAGGTGCACATTGGAGTTGGGTAATACGGTGTAGAGTTTGAAAAAGTTCTTAAGGAGCAGCGTTTCTATTAATAAACAGGGCTCTTGAGTACCTTTTGTACTTGAGGTGCTGTCACATGGTGCACAAATTTCAATGTGAATTACGCATTGAGAAAATGGACTTCTACGAACTGATCAAACTTGAGCTATGCAAAACATTACGAAGGCATCAAGCAGGTATTTCTCGGCTTATTTGTGTCACTGATCTACAGCAATCTTCATGGCACTCCACATGCAGCACAGGGGCACGTTGTACAATGGCCTTTTCAAGGTAACACTTGCCACACCAAAAGTAGTGTATCTGTTGCCAAGACTGAACTGCTTCATTTTGCATATTTAGATTCACGATATCGTCTTGCTTTAAGCTTGGTGGTAGGCACAGCATATAGGAAAACATAATTCATTTTATGAATTCTTGGTCACTTTCTAAAGCAGGCACGGCAAACAAAAAGTTTAAGTTGGTGCTTTTGTACCAAGCCATGCAGTTCTGTGAAAAGAGGTTATTGGTTTTCATTAGGCATATTAGGGGCAAGAGGTCACCTTTAGGCAGTCAGATTAACTAACGATAGTTTTGCTTTACACTGATTTAGCAGTTGATTTGTTTGTGGCTGCAATCGCTGGAGCTTCATGAAAAATTTAAAGCTTACTTTTTGTTGCTTATGCCCGAAAGGAAGCAATGGAGCTTCATTTTTTCAAAGACTTGTAGATGATCATCACTTGTCTTGCTGCAAGGGAACGTTCATCAGTAGGCCAGTTTTACAAGTGCCATTTCTTCATGGTACAAGCTCTGTTTCCTCCTAATTAAGACTGGATATCATTAAAGTGCTAGGCAGTGGATAGATGCAAAGATAATTTTATGAGGGGCATTTTTGCTGGGTCAGACAAAGTGCAGTGCCTGTTGATTTATATTTCGGGTATGCGATCTCTCCGAAAGTGCCATATTCTAATTAAAATACGCTTAGTGCCTTTATTTTTGAAGTGATGTATAACAAGGAGTTTTCTCAAAAAGGTAGAGAAAGTGTTCTCTACTTTTCTTTAAGTAGGTTTCTCACAAATTTGAGTCTCATTTATGCTCATAAATGTTGGGCACTTTTCCTGCTTCAATCTTTCAAACTTCTGCCTACAAGGAAGGCCATGAATGCAGTACTTGGATTTGGCACCATTCAGCATGCGTGGCCAATTGGATTCCTTGAAAGCAACAGGCTCAAAGATAAACAAAGGAATGGTGGCTATAAGGGCTTGTTTTTTTTTCGTTAGATCTATCGTCAATTAAAATTAACAAACTAGAAAGCCAAGGTAGGTATAGGGGATGTCATTTTAGAGTAAATATGATGTTAATGTCAATAAAGCAAAGTGGATGAAAAGATAACTTTCCAGTGGCAGGCACTGATTCTATGACCTTCAAATGACTCGTTGAATTTCGCCAGCAGGCAAAAGAATATTCCACACTTGCAGTCATGGTTGTTAGCAGCGCTGACAAACACTTCTAGGTATAAATGTCCATCTATACCCAATAAAGTGGACAGGGATGACCGCTAGTGTAGCTCAGTCGGACGAGTTGTTCGAAGATGCAGGTTTGGACCCAGTCATTGGCTAGTTGTCTTATTATCCGCCTTACTTTTATTACTACAAAATGTTTTTGTTCACCTTCTCTTGTGGCTCCTACCCACAGTGGAGGATTGACGTTCCCGAGACTTTCCTCGGCTTTCCATCTCTTCTAATCGACGCTCAAAGATGGCGAGACGTGTTATACAACCAGCCAAATTTGGCCACAGATTATGTCGCTATTCAAACAGGCACGGCTCCTTAGCACTTCTTTTGTATGCTCCGAGAACTTTTGAAACCATCTCCATAGCGCTCATTCTATTTGAGGAAATGCATAGTGGCTGGCCATACTGCTGCATGCAAAGGTCCTGAAGCTCTGCAAGGAAGCTGAAATAAATATTTGCTGTCAACTGTTGATGACTGGATGTCAGGTTCGTTCTTTAATGGAGTACAGATGTGAATCATAAACACTGAAGGCAAGAAAAAAAAGTGTCATGTAGTTCCAAAATGCATAAAATATATATTTAGTGCCGCTACTTTCAAAAATGCTTTTGGTATTGATGTTAAGGGGTGCCTTTACAGTGCATCACTAAGTCCGGCCATGTGGGAACAGCAACTTGGTGATGTATTATGAGCAACAGCAGCTCTGTAATATGTTGTCACTTGAATATGTTAACAAGGATGTGAGAATAGCCGCCCAGCCGTAAGCGTGTGCAGAGTTCCCTGTCAGGGTAGGAAAGGCTCCTCGCAGCCCCCCCCCCCCCCCCCATCATATCAATATATATGGGGCTGGCTTTGCACCCGTAATTTCCGCGACGCCGGAATTTCAGTGAAACGAGCTCTTTAACGCCATCAATCCGCTTATGTATTCAGCTTTGCACCACTTCTTGCAACACGCAGTCATTTGTGTTCGCTGTACCATCTTCGATTGAAAGTGTGGTGAAAGTGAATTTTTGCCGCTTTACTATTTTCTGTGAGGTTGAACAAACCGAACAAAAATGCAGTTTATGCGTTGGATGAAACCTCAGCCCCG